GCTATTGCTAAAACCAAGGTGGCTCCTCTCAAGAAGCTCACCATTCCGCGTCTTGAGCTCAACGCCGCAGTCAGTCTAGCCAAGCTCATAAGGTACGTTATTGTTCAGCTCAACCTTGGTACCGCTATGGTACATTTGTGGACAGACTCAGCTGTTGCTCTTGCGTGGATCTGTGCTCATCCTTCCAGGTGGAAGGAATATGTCCACAATAGAGTAGCCAGCATTCAGGAACTCGTGCAGGAAGCGAATTGGAGGTACGTCAGTGGGAAGGAGAATCCTGCTGATTGTGCATCTCGAGGCATTTCGGTAGCTCAACTCAATGCCCATCATTTGTGGTGGACGGGCCCAAAATGGCTACGCAAGGATTCTTCTCAATGGCCGAAAGGGAGCGCAAGATTGGACCCGTCAACAAATCTCGAGGAGAAGCCTGGGGTGACTCTAACTGCTTCTCTCGCGAGGTCAAGTCTCTGGGATCTTTGCACGCGATATTCCTCTCTCTACAAATTGTTGCGAATCACAGCAATTTGTCAAACGGTTGCAGGAAATATGGTGCGGAAGTTGGGAAGGAAGAAGGCTGTTGTTGTCCCTGCAGTGTTTAGCCCTGAAAGCATCGAGGCAGCTCGGCTTTATTGGGTCAAGGCGACTCAAGCCTTTCATCTCCAAGCCGAGTGTGACATTATCTCTCACGGATTCCAACTGAAGAAGTCTCATCCGTTGACCAAGCTCACGGCCTTCATCGACCAACAGGGTGTTCTCAGAGTGGGCGGGCGTTTGAAGTTCTCAACTCTAGGACCAGAGAGTAGGCATCAGGCGATCATCCCTAAAGGTTCCGCGCTCGCAGAGCTTCTCATTAGGGACTCTCATCAGCGAACGCTGCATGGTGGAACTCAGCTCACGTTGGCGCATCTCAGGAGGTCTTACTGGATTATTGGAGGTCGTCTACCAGTAAGATCCTTCATCCTCAAGTGCGTTGAATGTGCGCGTGGGATTCGAGCTCAACAGCTGATGGGACAGCTTCCAGTAGCACATCTTGTGTCGGATCGGGCTTTCTCTAACACTGGTGTGGACTATGCCGGACCAGTGTCGCTCAAGACGTGGAAGGGGCGTGGTCACAAGACCCAGAAAGGCTGGTTGGTGATTTTTGTGTGCATGGCCACGTCCGCTCTCCATCTGGAAGCTGTCACGGATTACTCTGCTGATGGGTTCATCGCGGCCTACAGGAGGTTCGTAAGTCGTCGAGGGTACTGGAGACATCTCTACAGTGACTGTGGCACTAACTTTCTCGGTGCTGACAAGGAGCTGAAGAAGCTGTTCTCTGCTGGCGCCAAGGAATTCCAGCATCTCTCTGCAGTATGTTTCAAGGATGGAACGCGGTGGTCGTTCAATCCTCCTGGAGCCCCTCATTTCGGAGGAAAATGGGAAGCAGCGGTAAAGTCGGTGAAGTATCATCTCGCTCGAACGGTTCGTGATACAACTCTCACGTTCGAGGAACTTTCGACGCTGCTGACCCAGATTGAAGCAGTTCTCAACTTCAGGCCTCTACAAGCGCTCTCGGAAGACCCTGATGACTTGTCCTGCTTAACCCCAGGGCATTTTCTCATTGGAGAAGCTCCAATAGCTCTTCCGGAGCCTTCTTTGGATCATCTCAACGTTGGACGGCTCTCTAGATGGCAACTGATTCAGCAGAGGCTGCAGTTCTTCTGGAAACAATGGTCTACAGGGTATCTGCAGCAGCTCCAGTCCATCTCCAAGTGGCATCATCCGTCCAACGAAGTCAAAGTCGGTAGCCTGGCACTTCTCTACGACGAGCGGTTCCCGCCATCGAAGTGGCCTCTTGCTCGTGTCACAGTTCTACATCCTGGGAAGGACGGTCTCTCCAGAGTTGTGACAATTAGGACCGCCTCGACGACGTTGACTAGGCCGATCTCCAAATTGGTTCTATTGCCGATCTCTACCAGTTAAAGCTGGTCTCACTCGACATGTTTAATTCTCTGCTTAGTGTTCTAGGTTCTCGAGTACTGCTCTACTCCTTCTGTCAGCAACGGGGTTCCTGACGGGGGGGAGAATGTTGAGGCAACAGCCTCATACCGCATCTGACCAAGGGGTGGCAGCACCTCCTTGACTAGCTCTGCCTGACCGGCCGCGCTCCAATACAGGTGCCCCAACTACGCACCTGTAGCGCTGACCTACTTCTCTCTGAATTATGATTATTGTTACTCTCTCTCTCTCTGTTCGGACGTTCTATCGAGTAGCGTGGTCCTCTAAAATTCCTCTACGTTTTACCTCTAATTATCGTGTGCATCTCTACCCCGTGTAATCCTCTACCGTGATAAATACATCGAGTGTTTGCTCGCGGTTATTTTTATGTGAATATTTTTTACGCAAGTAACTGTGCTGACTCGAAATAAATTAGTTTTATTGTGACAAAACTGACGTGTCTCGTGTCACATTCTTTTCGCCAAAACGCTCCTTAACCCGCATCCTAGTACTCCATCGGTTCGTTTTTTGCGACTTTCTCGCCGAAACAATATGGTTTCAGGAACGGTCGATCTACGTTAGAAGCCATCAACCTTGTTGTCGATACTGCCAGGGAAGCGATCTCAGGGAAAAGATGGCTAAATGGGAAGAAGAAGTACTGTTTAGTAGCAACGCTGGACATCAAGAATGCCTTTAACTCAGCCAGATGGGACTGTATTATGGATGCTCTTGTGAAATTCAACGTACCAGGGTACTTACGAAGGATGGTCGACAGCTATTTTTCCGGGAGGATCCTTAAGTATGACACGGAGTGTGGTCCCGAGCAGTACAGAGTTACGGGAGGGGTGTCGCAGGGCTCAGTACTAGGTCCCCTACTGTGGAACATCACAGATGACGTGGCAGATGACGTGGCTGTAGTCATCGTCGGAAAATATCTTGAGGAGATCAATTTTACCTTCGACAAGACCTTCGAGACGATTCGACGCTGGATGGACTCAGCAGGCTTAAACCTGGCGGAGCATAACACGGAAGCCGTGCTGATCACTAGCAGGAAGATAATTGAGACTATCACGCTGCAGGTCGGGTCTTGTGAAATTACCTCCCAGCCATTCATCCGATACCTGGGGGTGATGATCGATGCCCGACTCAACTTCAAGCAGCAAGCGGAGCACGTGGGTACCAAGGCATCTGGGGTCAGATCCACCCTAGCACGCCTCATGTCCAACACTGGAGGTCCTAAACAACGGAGACGAGCGCTGCTGTCGTCAGTGGTTACATCAGTGGTTACATATGGTATTTCCATTTGGGCTGACGTACTCCAGCTGCAAGAAGCTCGCCGTAAAATTGCACCTGTCTATCGGCTGAGTGCTCTCCGAGTTGCGAGTGCGTATCGGACGGTATCTGAGGATGCAGTGTGCGTCATCTCAGGAATGTTACCGATAGAGCTATTAGCTGAGGAGCGAAGATCTCTATACCAGCGGAAGAGATCAGAAGCGCTGAGTCCCGAAGAACTGGAAATTCAAGAGAGACGAAAGAGCTTGAGCCGATGGCAGCAGAAGTGGACAGATTCGACCAAGGGGAGATGGACCCATCGTCTGATCCCGCATGTGGCTGTCTGGGTAAGTCGAGATCATGGAGAGATAAACTATTATCTTTCTCAAATGCTTTCAGGACACGGGTGCTTCCGGGCATATCTTCATAAATTCAAACATGAAGATTCCCCGACGTGTCCCACCTGCGCAGAAGTGGACGAGAACGCGGAGCACGTATTCTTCACATGCCCCCGTTGACATCCGGGATACTTGGGAGACTGAACTTGGAAGGAAAGTCTCGCCCGAAAATATAGTAGAAGCAATGCTGTCATCAGAGACAGCCTGGGACGCAACGAGCAACTTCGCGGCGGAAGTCATAAAGGAGCTCGGAAACGAGGAACGCAAGCGCAAGGTTGCAGTATAGGTGAGAAATCTATTTGGAACCTCCTAATCACACACAATATCTTAGCAGATTAGGGGGACGTACATTGGATGGAAATAGTCGAAGAGCAAACAGCTGAGAACCCCCCTCGCGAAGTAATACTTCACGGTGGTGCCGCGAGGGAAATGGGAACGGACAATTAGAGGTAAAAAGAGGAAAACAGGGTTTTTACTGGGTAAAAATCCCAGATCTGGTTTTTAACATCACTTTACCAGAATCTTTTGAAGATATTCCCAAACCTCTAAAAAAAAAAACACACCACGAATCCTCTCAGTAAGGAACGCCTTTATTTTCTGAGCGCTTTGCAAGCCGGAAGGTACTGCAACGTGGCGCGTATCCACGTGGTGGATAGGATAAATCTCGATATTCTGAACTGCCGTTCAGAATATACGGTATCGACTAAATAAAATACGTCGGCGCGAACCAACACCTTCCGAGAAACCCAACTCTAAAAGAGGTGTGCAGGGTCGGCTCCCTAGAACACCCCCGGGTCAGGCTCCCGATAACAGCTCGTAGAACCATGATGAGTGATAATAACATAAAGAGTTCCCACGCAGGTAGCCCGCTGAGAGAGAATCCTGCCATCAGCGCTAATGCTGGTGCCGGCTCCATGGATATGGGAGGAGCCAATCATCATTTTATTGGAACAAAGGTGGACCACTTGGCCTCACATGTTACAAGTGGGGCAGAGCCACAGACTCGACAGGTGACACACGTTACGATGCCAAAGGCGTCGGAAGGCAGATGGCGACAGCAGTGAAATCACACTGGAGGCCATGAAATTGCTGCGCCGGGCATATAGAGGAACACAAGCTGCCTTAGTGACACTTCCTGCGCCTGTCGCAAGGAGGATCTTAGGCGAGCGAGGGAACATCTGAATTGGCTGGTTCAACTGCCGCGTGGTGGTAGTGGTGAGACCCCTAAAATGCTTCAAATGTTGGCATTATGGACACCTCGCCACGAGATGCAGGAGCGAGATCGATCGATCGAAACTCTGTGCCAAATGCGGAGAGGCAGGGCATAAAACCGCTGAGTGCGAGAAAACTGCTCGCTGCGTCCTGTGCGCAGGAAAAGACCCCGCGACGAATAGTGCCCATATCGCTGGTAGCAGTAAATGCCCAGTCTACCAGGAGGCACTCCAGAAGATTCACGCTAAGCAATAGTGCGTGTCTTGCAGGTGAACCTCAACCACTGTGAGGCCGCACACGATCTACTCATGCAGACGGTGTGAGAGCTGAAGGCGGACGTTGCGATTATTTCGGAGCCGTACAAACAACTGGACACTCAACCCTGGGTAGCCGATGCCAGTTCCGGGGTCGTCATTTGGTCTTGTGGACAGTATCCACTTCAGGGCAGTGCCAATAGGGGGGAAGCTGGTTTTGTGACAGCCAAGTTGGGTGGCATTTACTTCTATCGCTGTTATGCTCCACCCAGCCTCTCCCTTGATGCATTTACGGACTTTCTGGACCGACTGGTAGAGGATGCGAAGCACTACTGCCCGGTGGCTGGGGACTTCAACTCCTGGGCAGTCAACTGGGACAGCAAGGAGACCCATGCAAAAGGTCAAGCACTACTGGAGGCCATGTCTGTGCTGGACGTGGTCCTCCTGAACAGCGGTAACGAACTCACATTTGCAAGAGGCAAGGCCAGCTCCATCGTAGACCTCACTTTCGTGAGTGGTAACCTAACTACAGGGAACTGCTCATGAGAGGTGAGTGACACGGCCAGAGATCATCGAGCTTTACTATGGGCGGTAACACCAAATGAGAGAACAAGACCGGCAACAGGGAAAACAAACTCAATCGGTTGGAAAGTGAGTAGTTTTGAGCTGACCACATACCTGGTAGCATTGGACATCAATCCGCTAGGCGAGGGCAATGCTACGGAGAAGGTAGGTAAGCTCATGAAAAGAGTTAGGTAACTTTTCACGATTGTGATGCGACCATGCCGCGGAAACGCAGCGGGCACCAACGACCGTCGGTGCACTGGTGGAATGACCAAATCGTGAATCGCCGCAAGGAGTGCATCTCAGCGAGGAGGTCTGCACAACGCGCAAGGAAGAAGCCAACTTTTGCATCCCTGCATGCAAAGTATAGAGCGCCTCGGCGAAAGCTCACCAAGGCCATCAAGCATAGCAAGAGCAACTGTTGAGCGAGTTCCTGGAAGAGGTCAACCGTGATCCATGAAGCCGGCCATATAAGGTGGTCATGACGCGGCTCAACAATCAGCCGATGCCATCACCATCGTGCCCCGATCTCCTGAAAAAGATAGTCACGGCTTTGTTCCCGCAATAGCCGGAAACGGCCCAACAACATCTTGATGAATGCGATGTGGAGTCGATTCCACCAGTTACGCTGGAGCAGCTGATGGAAGCCTGCGACAGAGTGGGAAACAACAAAGTCCCTGGTATTGATGGAGTACCCAACATCGCCCTTAAAGCGGCCATTAAAGCAGCACCGAAGCTGTTCCTGGATGCATACAATGCATGCCTTCGAGAGGGCATCTTTTCTGCCAGGTGGAAGCAGCAGAGACTCGTGGTTTTACCCAAAGGGAAGAAACCACCTGACGAACCATCATCATATCGTCCATTCTGCATGCTGTATACGGCAGTCCTGGATCGCATTGCCCATCGAAGAATAGAAGAGGTCGTCGACCCGCTGCTGGCCGATAACCACTATGGTTTCCGGCGAAATCGCTCAACGCTTGACGCTATTGACCTCGTCGTCAAGACTACCAAACGAGCAATTTCCGGCACGAGATGGAAAGGTGGCACCAAGGAATACTGTCAGGTGGCAACACTAGACATCAAGAATGCATTCAATTTAGCCAGGTGGAGCCTCATTTTGGAAGCCTTGGCCGGAATGCACGTACTGGAATACTTACGATGGGTGGTGGATAGCTACTTCACAGACCGAATACTCAAGTACGACACAGAGGCTGGTCCGAGGGAATACAGAGTCACTGGAGGAGTACCTCAAGGATCTGTGCTAGGCCCTCTACTGTGGAACGTC